TCAGCAGTCATGGTCAACGACAATCTGTCGGAACCTTTCCCTCTCACAAGATCGCTGCGTGAAGGCTGTCCCCTTGCCCCACTCATCTTTGTCCTGCAATTGGAGGTCCTGCTGAACAAAATACACAGACATCCAGACATCAAAGGCCTGCAACTGCTCACTGGGGAAGAATGCAAGGTAAAAGCACTTGCATACGATCTTTTCGCAATCTCAGAAAACTCCATCACGCTGTCCGCCTTAAAGTCGGTACTGAGCAATTACTCGACGCTGTCGGAGGCGACGGTTAACTAGAACAAGTCCACCTACCTTGTGCCAACACAGTTCTCACTACAGGTGAAATGGGGAATAAAGAGGGTGGAGAATGGGGAAGAAGAAAAATTCTTAGGCGTGTTGATCAGCCTGCAGATCGAAGCATCATCTCAAGGTCTCTTGCTACAGCAGCGGATTGCAGCCAAATTGAGAATGTGGGGAAACACTTGGCACTTGTCCCTGTTGGGTAGGGCTCTAGTCGCGAACGTGGCCTTGTTCTCAGTCCTCTGGTTTGTATCAACAGTCAGGGAGTTGGTGGCAAGTGTGATCAGAGAGGTCAGAAGATTGGTGGCCCGATTTTTATGGAAACCTCGGGCCCAGATCACTGAAGGGTTCATATCCAAGGTTGCTATGGACACACTCACGTTCCCTCGAGACAAAGGAGGACTGGGCCTGCTGGACCCAGGCCGCAGGAAACAGGCCCAACTGCGGAACTGGGTGGCCAAGATCGCCACCATGAAGTCTTGTGAACACTGGGTAGTAGTGGTTGAGCGCATTCTGATGGGCGAATGAAAGTTGAGCAGGCCCCAGGACGTTTGGGCTTGCTTCTTCATACCGTCTTTCCGCAAGAAGAGACCCAAGTCCAAATTATGGAAACCAATCCGGTGAGCGTGGAACCGGGCCCCGCCGGACATGCAGACTCCTCCATCCACAATGGAGGAAGTATTGAACCTGTTGCTGTTTGAGAATCCGACAATCACAGACCAAGCAGGCCAAGTCTTCCCAGTGGATGGATCCACTGAAACCTTTGGACAAGCATGGATCAGGAGGGGAATCGTGAGAATAGCAGACTTGTGGTCGTCGCTCCTTGGAGGATGGAAAGTAATGGAGGAACTAAAAACTGCACTTAGAGGTCTGCAGAGAGCAGAAGAGAACTGGAGAAACCTGCTCAGCGCAATCCCACAAGACTGGCTCACCATTCTGGGCCCAGAGAGGTTAGATCCAGCAGGAACCTGGTACGTTCCTAACCAGGAGGGGAGCGGTAAGGAACTGTGGAAGCTATTGGAAATCCTACCCAGTGGCTTCAGGCGGATTGAAAAATGGAAGAGTGAAGACCCTCTGAACACACTGACGTTAGTAGAGGAAGACACTGTGCAGCTCTGGGATAACCCCGCTCAAGCACGAGTGCTGATGACGAAGAACAAAACAGCGGCAACGTGTGTTCTTACATGGGTGGGCAGACTCCCGCTCAACCAATCGTGCATCGACCCAGCGGCCTGGGGTTGGACTCCACACTCAGCAGAGGAAGGTACGCTGAGTCTTCAGAACTACTCGGTCTCAGCGGGGTACTATCAATACGCCCACAAGTTCAAGTCACCAACTCAGGTGGCAATACCACGTTGGCAGGCAATCTGGGACAAAGATCTCTCGAATGTTTCAACCGAGTTTGAGAGACTGTGGAAAACTCTAACTTCCATTCCAAACGGGAAACAGGTAAGCCTGCTATGGATGCTTTTGTTGATGGTAACCCCCTCAGCGGTATGACTCACGAGCAATGGCATGGTAGTAAGCTTGACATGCACAAGGTGCAGATGGCCGTTTGAGTCTACTAAACACTTGTGGTGGGAGTGCCCCGCCTCCAAGAGAATCTGGAAGTGGTGGGCCTACCAAGGCGTTGGGGGGCCAGGGAGTGGAGTGGGAGGACAAAAGATGGGTGCTGCTTGGTTTTCTCCCGCCTGATGTCGTGGGGCGAAGAGGCTGGGGATACATAGCACATGTGGTGAGGGGCCTGATCTGTGAAACGATCTGGGCAGACAGGAACAGGTCGAGGTTCCAGAAACGACCGTTCTCGGATCTGGAAACAAAGCGTCATATCAAGAAAGGATTAGAGCATGCTATTTGGGCAGACTGGAGACGCAAGGCAAAGTCGGGCAAGGGAAGCAGCCATCAGCTACGATGGTTCCTCCGCACCTGGGCAAAAAATCATCAGCTGCCCGGAGTTCACTCGAGGGTCTGATAATCTCGAAATGGGTACGGGAGGAGCCGCGGTGAGAGACAGGTACTTAGTAGTTTAGAGTGGGCCCCTCGGCCGCAGTAGACCTTTAGGTGAGTGCCAGTAAACCGTGGACCCAGTCCAATGCGCCGTGCTAGTCGCAGAAGTAGGTTAGAACGGACTAGTTTATATAGTAGCAGTTGGTATTCACTTCGGTCATTTGGTTGACTACGCGCTAGGTCTCAACAAGGCAAGTCACAGTTACTCTATTTATCCTGAATTTTCGTTCGGCCTTTGAATCCTTTCAAATGAATTGCAAGTTTTTCAAGACTAGACCACAGGAACTTAGTGGGAGTTCCGCAGGCAAGGGCCTGTAAGCTAAGCTGGCTGATGCTGTCAGATACCTCCGGGTTGAATTGTGAGGTCCCCGGCCTCGTTTCGCATTTTTGTAATGAACTTCCAAAGCTTTGCCGCAAAGCAGTGGGGTCCACCTCTAATAGGCCACAGGTAATTCAGAATTGTTGCGTTCCTTTATCTGGTTGATCTGGAATCGAACATCGGTCTACGTCTGAACACTCCATGGGTGTACCAACTGCGCTACTGTAGGCCCGTTGGTGAATTGGCTTTTTTCGTTCGTACAGTGCGTGGAGGCGGGGACTGATTTTGCCGCCTGAAATAACGGCTCTTGCGCTGCTATCGAATGCCGACGACGTGCCTCGGTTCGGGAAAAAATGCCCACTACTAGCCGTTGCGTGCCGTTTTTTTCCCGCCTGCTACGGGAGTAGGCATACCACCTTCACCTTCACCTGCTACCGTAGCAGGCATACCTCGAGAAAGGTCAGAGCCTGCCGATTCGAAACTTTGTGTCATGTGAGCGTGCAATTCCGTCGTCGCTCACGACGCTACCCCGCCTTACGCGCAATAAACCTTTCGACGGAATCGATACGAGTGGGAGCGTAGTCTGGTAGAGGATCTGTTTCCGTTTCGGTCGAGAGGGAGACAGAGGTAGACGTAGAGGTCGAGGTCGAGAGAGAGAGAGAGAGAGAGAGAGAGAGAGAGAGAGAGAGAGAGAGAGAGAGAGAGA